CTCTATCCCTCCTACACACACACATACACACATTTACACCTCCATCCCTACTCCTACACACACATACACACATTTACACCATCCCTCCTACACACATGCATACACATTTACACCTCCATTTCTACTCCTACACATACTCACACACATACACACATTTACACCTCTATCCCTCCTACACACACACATACACACATTTACACCTCCATCCCTACTCCTACACACACATATACACACATTTACAACTCCATCCCTACACCTACACACATACACACATTTACACCTCCATCCCTCCTACACACATACACACATTTACACTTCCATCCCTACTCCTACACACACATACATTTACACCTCCATCTCTACTACACACACACGCGCACACACACACTCTCTCTCACGCTAGCTGGTGCGCACACTGTTACCACAGCTCTGCTTTGGAGACATGGTCACTCCCCGGTGCCCAACCTGTCCTTCTGCCAGGCGTCCGGGGGGTCAGTGGGAGCTAATGCCGGGCACTGGAGAGGGTTGTCTGGGAGGAGGCAGGGTGACGTGCAAGGGACAATTGGGAGGTGCATTAAGAAAGAAACCCATAGAATATGGAAGCTGCGATGGGGACAGAAAACTTAAAGCAGAACTTTTGTTTAAAGATTTAGGAAAAGTTTGGTTGTTTAAGAGATGAGCTCTGTACTCCCCACCTTGTGAAGACGTCATAAAATCTAGACTAGAGCTGCTTTCGGTGCTGAGCATGGCGTCTGTGAGTACAGCGTGAGGTCAGGGGTCAGGTGGTCACCTGGCCTGCCGCCCTGTGGGGTGACTCCCACCTCCTTGCTCCCCCCCCCCCCCAACCACCTGGGCTGGGAGAGGGCTCCCGCCTTCCCGCTTTGGGCCACGTCCTCACGTTCACTCACACCTCATGCTCCTAAACACCTCCTTTGCTTGTTGCCCTTTTGTTTGGATTTTGGGGACATACACAGTGGGGCCTCTTCAGCTCTAAGAGTACTAACCCTAAACCCCTTGTTCATGGAACCAACAACGGACTGTGCCGTCCTGTCCCTCGGGGCGCTGCCCTGCAGGGGAACATGGTCCTTTCCAGAGCGCAGCACTGCCTGGGCCTGCCCGGTGACCTCCACCAGGTTCCCCGTCAAGTGAACGAAGCCCGCATCAGGCTTCCCTCCTCGCCCAAAGCAATCATGTTCCAGAAAGATTTCTCATAACATCTGCTTGAAATTTTACCCCCCAAAAATTGGATTTTTAACTAATTTGTAATTCTTCTCAAAAGTCAACTCAAGTCTGGGTATGTGATATATTTATCTGCCAGTCTTTCTCCAATTCTTAACATAAATTATACAGAAAATTGATGCTTGATGTTTTAGGCATGTTTTCTAGTGAAAGAGAAGATTTTATATATACCCTGTAAATTTCGTTAACTGATACAGGAAGAATAAAAGGCGAAAGGTACTGCCGAACCTGAATATGCCACAGTTTAATAAATTCATGGTGTGCTGTCGTTGAAGGAAAATCAGGAAAATTTCCAAATGTTCACTTAACAGATTTCAACGAAATCTCATTTTTTTTCTCCTCAAGCCTTTATTTGATTTACACACCAAGAAAAGCAGAAAGGATGACAGGTTTGAATCCCAAGCTAAGTCTTGGGCTTTCTGGTCACTTCACTTTTATCAGGGGCGTGTGTGTGATGCACACGGCCCTTCCACGGTCATTGGAGCTGGCCCTCTTGGGGGATGTGACCCAGGCTCCAGGTCTCCTCTCACCCTGCACCATTTTGACCTGTACATGCCTGGGGACCGCGGTTCCGGACAAAGGACCTGGAGGACTGAGCGGGCAGCGGGAAAGGCAGGGTACCAGGAGCCACCCCTCAACGGGCTAGGGCTGGGTAATGTGGGGGTGCATGTTTATAGATTTTGAATGAAGAAGGTGGGAGGTTGATTTCTGGAAACCAGTTGAGAACCATGAAGTTAGTGTGTAGAAGGTGAAAGGGGAAAACCAGGTGAATGAGAGACCGTGGTAAAACCAACGAGGGGCACGGGCTGGGGTCAGAATGGAGGAATCCATTCTACCGCCAAGTCCAGCCCCCACCTGGCATTCCCGACATGCATACCCATTTGTGAGTAAATCTGGCAGAAAAGAGAGGGAAGGGGTAGAGGGAAGGGTGGGCTCAGACTCAAAAACAGTCATGTCACTCCTAACTGCTTTTATTCAAGCAATTAGGAGTCATCCTTTCTGCTTTTCTTGGTGTGTAAATCGGGCCTGAGGAGAAAAAAACGAGATTTCGTTGAAATCTGTTAAGTGAACATTTGGATGTTTTACTGATTTTCCTTCAACGACAGCACACCATAAATTTAAATTAAACTGTTGCAAATTCAGGTTCGGCAGTACCTTTCACCTTCTATGTTTCCCATCTCAGTTAATGAAATTCACATGGTATATAAAATCTTCTCTTTCACTAGAAAACATGCCTAAAACATTAAATATCAATTTAATAAAACATTCTTTTAGACCAATGATGTTAGCTAAAGCAAAGCTCTTTTTTTAAAAAAAAAAAAAAAAGGACTTTTTAAAACATATCGAGCTATAATTTGTTACTGTTTTCAGCCATGCAACAAAAAGTTGGGATCAAACACTAGAAAATTAAATTAGGTTCATTCACAACCAAAGATCATCCCTCTTGCCCTATGGACCTGCTGAGTCGAAATTCCGTTTTTCCTCTCCTGACAGCATTTTAGGTAAATGATTATCATCTGATGAATTGCACTAAAAGCAAACCGCTAGCAGATAGATCACACCATTCTTCTATTAATTAATGCCACTGTGTGTTGTGTATGTAACAAATGCAAATTATCTAATAGGGCAACATTGATTTTCTTTTCCATGCATTCCTCAGTACAATTCAAATGCAGTTTGGAGACTACCTTGGACTGGGAGATTGCAGTCATTGTAGCATTTTCCTCCTGATTTATAGGGCTCAATTATCTGTCTTCGGTTATATGAAATGTCTTTCCTAATAAAAGACCCAAAGAGTGAGAGACAGCATTTTTAGCATCAGGCACAGAAGGGTGATGTGATAATATCAGATTTCCTATGGTTTAGCAAACGTTGACAAAAAGGGGAAAATAAAATTGCTCATCCAATATGTTTTGGCCTCCAAGGATTCAGCTAATAAAGTAACTAGAAAAGTTAAATATGTGTAAGCCCCAGCACCTTTACAGTACTTAACAGATTACGAGTTGTGGCATTTACAGCAATGAATGTTTTCAGACTGCAAGCAAAAAAACTATTTTTCACTTTACTTGAAAAGAAGATGATGCCTCCGAATATCGCAGGGAATTGTTTCTTTTGTGTCCAGATGAGTTCAAGCCTAAACCAACATTCAAATGGGCTTCAGTCATGAATTGCAAGCTGCAGTTGAAATGAGCATTGTTTTGCTGACAGTTTAGTCCAAAGGCAATTCTTTTTCCCTACAGATACAGTGCATCCTTGATTAAGTGGTTTCTGGTTATTGTTTCATAACAGCCAATATTTGTTTGAATAAATGAATTAACCTGGGGAAACCAGCCATGGTCCTGACCCGCACTGGACTCTTCGATGGTCCAGGAGGCAGGTTACGTGAGCCATCACTGGCCGGTGCCACTGACTGCACTGGGTCCTGAAGCTGTGGTCCCAAGTCTCCCTGGGCCCCCAGCTGGCTGTTGCTGACAGTGCCACACAGTCACAGTGAGGACAGAAGTTCCACAGGGAAAGGGGTGGGCCATGTGCCTGGCACCAAGTTCTACCTTCAGTGGAAATGTGTCCAGTGTGTGGATGTTCATGTGTACTCTGTGTTTGTGTTACATGGTGGTACCCAAGCATGTGCCTGCACCCCCAACAAGCTTCTTGGGGTTTTCATTAAGGACATTTCCAAGCTCCCAAGTCACTTCGTGTGTGTGTCAGAAGTGGCTCTTTTCATTTCCAAGACCGTGTAACTGGTTGGCATTTACATGTACCCACACACCCACACACAGAGCAGGGGCCACGGGATGGTGGGCTACCCCCTCAGCTTCTCCTCCTAACCCACTCCAGTGGTCTCCTCCAGGTTCTCATCATGTCTGTCCATCCTCTAAATAACTAAAGGTGTTTAGAGTCTAAGACAACTTGAGTTAAACCCTGAAACACTAACCTGATGTAAATGTTATTGTCATCTAATTTAGAAGAGAAACAACTGTCTTAATTGTTTCTTTGTTTTAACCAACAAAAGAGATTTCACCTGGGTCTCCAAGGCCCAGCTGCTGAGAACCAGTAACTAAGCCCATAGAAGCTGTCTTGCCCTGGTTAAATAAACAAGGTCTGTGATTGACAATGTCTGTACAGAAACGAAATGTAGTCAAGCAGAGTAAGCAGAGACTGAGCAAGCACTTACTAATGTGAGAGTTGGACAAAGCATTCTTACATTCGCAGTCTTGAATTTGACACAGAGATTTTGTCCGTAATGTCTCTGGCGACTTTTGTGTGTTCATTCAGTGATTCACAAAGATGAATGATTTCAATACCATGTGTGATTGTATTTCAAACAGAACCAAGTGTCCTAATCTGGAATATCATCTCCATTTCATTTTACAGGACACGACAGGGCAGCTTACTTAATACCATTCCTTTAACTCATTTTCAGTAGTCTTTTTTTTTCCCTGAAAGAAAAGCTTTCTTAAATCTCTTAATTTCTTCCGTGTCATTCAGTTTGGGCAGAGCTGACTGACGATGTTTTCCTACATGAGCTTCATGAAGGATCTCCGTGAATCATCCAGTATTTGCTGTAACACTGGGCCAAGGAAACCTAACGTGTGCACTTTCTGTGCACATTTTAAATGCTTAAAATACACAGCTGTGCCTTGCAGTTGCACAATCATTTCAGAGCGCCTCTGTCAGGGGAAAAAGCTGCCTCCCATTGGCATGCACTGTGTTCTGTATTCGAGAAAGGAGGGCCCAGCACTGACCATATTTCCTCCCACAAGGCCCCATCCGACCAGCACGAGAGCTCGTGAGGCCGAACCCAAGACCTGGAAATCAGAAGTCCAGTGTACTATGGGAGCTGTACGGATCTAATTTAGGACTCCATGAAATACTGCCTCACTTCTCAATACATCTGTCCTCTGAAGGTACCCACTTATTCAGTTGCTAAACTAACTCTTCATTTTAATGTAATCTTTTGGGAGAATAAAAGTGAGCAGTACTAAAATGAAAGTGTTTTTTAAACAATAATGGTGCCGGAATATGAGATTTTTCACCTTGGCAAACAAAGTACTTTAGCCACTAAAAAACAGCAGAGCTATAAGAAATTGCTGAAACTTCAGTAGAGAAAAATTAATTCCCTGTTAAGCTTCTCTTTTTACTCACCCATCGACAAAGAAGCTAATTGTCCTCCAAGCTAGCGACGCGGGGAGGCCGGGACTTCCTCCTTGTCTTTCTACCGTTTTCCACCATCAGTGTTTGTAAAAGTCTAATCTTTAAGTCAGTTTATGCTTCCAAGACTAAACTCTGCAACAAATAATATGAATTTCACACGTTTAATCATTTGTAATTAATTCCAAACTAAGTAAACAAGGAGCTGTGAACGTTGGTTTTCCTCTACGTACATTTACTAATAGGTTATTATGGCTTTCTCTTTTCAAGTCTACTTTGGGGACACTTTTTAACTGAATTCTGTTAAACTACTTTTGTAAACTATCAATTCTATAAACTATCCCTTTTTCAGAAACAGAAAATTTTGTGCCTGAATTATAATTATAGCCTAAAGCCAAATATAACTTAGCAGATTCTCAGACTGGGGGTACTTTTAATAGGGAGGACCCTCACTAAATACGGCCTTGTTCATTCAACAGTTTACACAGAGCAGGTGCCTCCATGACAGGTTTGGAGAGCTGCGTGTAATATGGTTCGTTTTAAGTCAGCTGTTAAGGAAAACCGAATGAATCCCGGGGTTAAGAGAGATGGAGCCTCAGGCCTCTTCTCCTAGTTATCTGCATTCATTCCTTGGCCATCTCATTCAGCCTCGAGGCTTTCAACACCCTCTCTGCACCGATGGCCCCCACATTCCACACCCCCTCCCCACCACACACTCTGAGCTTCTCACTCATGTGTCTGACTTCCTAATCAGCCGCTGTGCTCAGATGTCCAGTAGGCCTTTTCAACTGAAGGTGCTCAGGACAAGACTTGAAACGGCCCCTGGGCATTTTTTGCTCCCACTCAGGTCTGCGCCCATGTAACTAAATGGGGCCACGGTCCATGATTTACCAAGAACCTTAAAGTTAACTTGAAGTCTTCATTCCTTTACCTTTACCTCCTACACCCAAATTCTACAGCAGCAAGGCCTTACTCTGCTCCATGGCCTCACCCCTCAGTGCCTCCACCTGGGTCTCTCGCCTGGATTGCTGCAACAGCTCCTAAAAAGGCCCTCTGGTTCCAGCACAGTCCATCGTCCATTCGGTAGCCAGAATGGTCTTGCTCCAAGTTCAGGGAGATTTTGTCACTCCCTTGCTTAACATCCTCCGGTGATATTCCATTACACTTAGAGTCAGTGTCGGTGCCCTTACCTTTGCACAGAATACATACATCACCTGACCCCACGAATCTCCCTGACCCTATCTCCTGTCTTTCTTATTCGATATTCTGCCCCCATCAGGTGCATCAGAGGTCTCGCTGCTCTTCGCACACCAAGCTGGATGCTGCCTCAGGGCCTTTGCACTGGCTTTTCCTTCTGCCTGGGCACTCTCGCCTGGTTCTGCGCATGGCTCCTTTCTCCCTTCTGTCTGGATTACCGCTCAGATTCTCCCTCCACATGGAGGCTTTCCAAGTGACGCAGAGCTACAGACTTGGGCACACTCTATCCCCTCACTCTGCTTTCTCTTCTTCATAATATTTACAAGCATCTGAAATATGTAATGTTTCCATAGCCATTTGCTTGCTAACTGTAAGATTCCGCCAGCTAGAGAGGCAGCATCTGAGAACAGGGACTCTGTCCCGCTCCGCGTCGGCTGCCTCTTCCCCAGAGGGTGCTCAGTAAGCATTTCTGATGATTATGTGACGTTACAAGCCATCGCTTACATCCAGATTTTCTCAATCCTTGTTCAGCATTTGCACATATTTATTTTTTCACAAAGGATTTGAAACAGCTTTAAGCAAAAACATATGTAATAAAAGCCAAAAATAGAAAGCCTAGCACTAAAGGGAAAAAAAAAAAGAACCCAAAGCAAGGTGGTCAGTTACAACATTGTCACGAGAAAGCAGGAAAGCAGAAAGTATACTGTGCTTGAAGAAAATAAGACGTTTGCCAAGAGGAAGTAAGTGAAGGCTGTCCAGCTTTCATGTTGGATCTGCTCTACAAATGTCCTCGCAGCATTTGTGAAGCAGATCCAATGCGCCTTTTCAAATGGCTGTTTCTTTGATCATGGCCAAGGGCCCAAAAGAAAATGCAGCATAATGAAGGGGGATCATTAAGGGGCTGAGTTCATACGCTCGGAGAATAGAGCGTTCTGATATCCTCACTTGAACCAAGGAATGACTTCCATTCTAGAAGACTTACCTAATCACATAGCCAGCATTGTTTATCGCTAAGAATTAAGGGGAGTTTTGTAATTCAATGAAAATAAGGCATTAAAGAAATGCTAGTGTAAATATGTGTTCATTCATAGTGCTCTAGCTAGAAGCCCTCGACCTGCCATTAGCCACAGCCCTGGAGGAGCGCTCATTACGGGCTTTCTGTGAATGTTCTTCCCCATATTTCCTATTCCCTTAGAAAAATGTGGGAGAAAGCTTAAACCTGGTACACTGCTTCCATCAAGTCCTCCATTTCTGCTCCTTGTTTATAATTCTCTCTAGTCTTAGTTTACTTACGGATAAAAATAGGTCTTACTATTAAAAACATTAAGAGGTGTCGAGAATTGCAACATACTTTATCATTATGTAGTTTATCTTGTAAAAAAAAAAAGGCAAAATTATCATCATGATGGACCTTCTGTCACATATTGATTGTGAAATTCAGGAGTTTGTTGAACAGAACCTGCTTCTAACAATACTGAGCATTCCTCTGACCACAGTTTGATCAGGTCACAGGAGCATGTTCTAGTTTTAAAAGCATTACTTAAAAAGCGCTCCTGGGAAGTCTTCAGTGAGCCTCAGGTCAAGGCTGCGGTCATTTCTATTAGGATCCCCTCCATCACAAACAATCTTCAGCAGACACCGGCAAGCCTGCTGTTAACCCTGAACTTCCCGATCTCATCAGTAACAAGTAGGCATTTGTCCCTTTCGCTCAAAAGCACCTACCCCCAACTTCAATCAGATTAAGAAGAATTCTTCTCTACTTTTTCCCTGTGAAGTTGGTTTTTATTTTACATGTTAAAACCAGGGTGCTTTGATAGATACACTTGTGTAACACTGGCGCAATAGAGACACGTCTGCATATTGACGAAGTACCACGTCTCTTTCCAGCAGCAGCTCAGACTCCCAGGTAAAGCCAAAGATGAGTTTTCCTATGCTGCAAAGCCATTGCCAAGCACATACCTCCATGTCCCACTAAATGGCAACCAGTGTCATCAGTGTGGCAAGAAAGAGACACACAGTGCCAGGCGGAGAGGTCGTTGAATGTTGCGTGGATGTCACAATCATGTGCCCTGAAAGAAAAAGATTCCCTTTTTTGTTTCATTCAGCTGTCGCCGAGAATCAAAGAGTGCATTTGTAATTGCTATTGTTTGTAGCATTTCTTGTGGTTCATAGCCAGATGACCATCCTTTACTGAAAAGCTTATTGTATGGGGTTTGCCCAGCACCCTTTCAAGATACCTAGTGTTGGTTTAGGGGGCAAGTGGGGAGTGCATACTTTGTGCAAAAAAAAAAAAAAAAAAAAGATTTTTTGCTACCACTTTCCTCAATTATTCTCATATTTTCCCCTAATAGAATATTTACTCATACTGCAAACACACTATTCTGAGAAGCAGAATGCTTTTCTGGATCTAAGTTGTCTGGTGGTTTTTCTGGATGATGTGCTGCACAGCTCTCTCTTTTCCCAATGTCCGGCAGAAGTCCAAATCGAATCCAAAACTCTATTTGACATCTGACAACTATTACGTTTTCTAATAGTCTTGAATAAGCAATGACATGTACTCCCTTCTAGAAAAAGGCCCTGACCCTCTGCCCACCTAAGACAAAGGTGAGAATCTGCCTTGTTCTTAAAGAGACCAGTAGAAAGTCATTCACTTCAGTTTTTAATTGATGGTGCTTTCTTAGCCATAATGGAATGAGATACATGTTCTGATGTTGTCTAGTGGCCTACATGTGGAACCGAGGATGCACTCCATGTCTCCAGGTCTATATTATTTTGCCTGTAGAGTGGAGGCTGCCCTCAAACTCAAGTTCCTCACTGCGTCCAATATTATGCAAATGGCATGGCTAATCGTTTCAAAAGATCTGAAAACACAAACACATTTTCAAATACAGAAATTGTCCATTTAAAAAAAAAAACGTGCTCATTATTCAGCCTTTAACTATGATTAAATTCATTTGTTACATTTATTCCGTTTGTTTGGGGACAAAATAGCCAGCTGGCAAGTGCCAATCACCAACACAAGCCTTAAGTTATGAATATGACTGAAAAGTCACAAGTTAATTCTGGTGAAGGGCATGAGCCTTTTGAAGGGGCTCCTGATGGGCCGGAAGTGCAGCCAGCTCTCTTGCCTCCTGTGCCTGCAACAGCATGTTGACATTTCTGGGTTTGAGCAAGTGATTAGATTCCGTGGGACCCAGTGGTCTCCGGGTGCCATGGAGATCCTGTCGGATGCCAGGCCACGAAGACTTAGCAACCAGCGACGTTTCTGTGGTTTCCCGGCAGCAGAAGTTGACTGTGAAGTGTGAGTTTGCTTGGGTGACAGGGCACCGGGCTCCGTGGTGACCAGCTTCTGGGTCAGCTCCTCCGTGCAAACCAAAGTTTGAGTCAGAAAAGGCTGTTGTTTAAATTGGAGAGTCTTTTATGCCAAACCAACGTGGGTCCTCTTTTGTTCTCAAAAGGGAAGTGATGCCAGCTGGCCAGTCTGAGGCTAGGTATTTGCACAAAGGCTGACCAGATGAAACACTCTCCTTCCCTATGTGTGGTTCCCACCGCAGGGAAT